ATATAAAAAGTCTATAAGAGTAATAACTAATATTATAAAATGTAATAATCGATAATGTTTTATTGTAATAATGTAATATACCAACAAGATATTTTTATAAAACATATTATTAGAAATTCATACCACTAATACAGTAAGTTAACTGAATTAAGTTATCAGACTTTTTTTATTATTTAGTATGCGTTTATCAAAAATATGTATATTATTACTATCATCATTATTATAACGTCGAATAATTTTGATGAAAAAATTAACTTACTTATTTTAAGCTAACCTAGCTTTGAGAAAAATGTTTTAAATTTGGCATAATCATGATATATTAAATATCATATTTACCAATTAAAAATTATCGTTAATTCGTTTAAAAATAGAATCTTTACACATTATTTTAAGTAAAATGTAAATTATTTAATTATTTATTAATATACATTTAATATTCTATATTCATTTCGAAGAAGGAAAGCTTTTCTAATTTCTATACTAAATTTCACTGCGCAAGTTAAATCAATTATTTTTCGTTTTTGTGTTGATAAATAATATAACAATAACACCAAAATGGCCAGAGTAAACGTTATTCGTGATTAATTATAATTATTATGTCTGTCATGTATAATGTACAAAATATGTATAGATACAATCAATTTAAATTTGGAATAGATTTAAAAAACATCGTATTAATTATCGAATATCAAATATTAAGGTATTTAGAAGTCATTTTAATAATAATATTTATACATTTTATTAAACAATTATTCTAATATCAAAATAATTTTTCAACTTGCTTACCTAAACTGTAACTTTTATAAATATTCCTAACCTCTATCATTTTAACTATGATTTAATTATCTATATAAAAAAAAGAATTAATTAACAGTACGCATGATTAAGGTAGACTTGTGTTCTAAATTAGAATCAACGAGTTAAATATAGATAAACGATGGTATTCGATCAAATAAATATATTATCTTATAACATTATATTATTACACTTGTATTAAATTATAATACGTATTGTATACCAAGCACCTATAGGTATAGTTTCTACGTAAAAGTTATATATACTTTGAGAAACGAACAACATTTTTTGAATTACAACAGAATAATTAAAATCGATCTTATTAAAAATTTGTGTCGAGTTAATATGTCCGTATTTAGTTTTTATTTTTTTCTATTATTTAGTAAATTACGAAAGTTATCTTACTTTTGACCTTCCGAAATACCATCTAGATATAATTCGCAATTAAAATAACCACTTTCCAAGTGTTATTTGTAATGCTCTAAAGGTGATGATATTAAAAAAAAAAAATACAAGGCACGCAACATTGTAAAACGCTCCGCTCAGAATCTAAAAATATATTAAAATTAATAAATTCGTTTTGTACAAAAAACTCTATTAAGTTATTTTGTATTCATTTAATTTTCATAAGACAACCCGAGAAATATATAAAAGAACAAAGGTTGACATATTTATATTATTATTATTTTTTTTTTTTTTAAATATACAGTTTGTTAAATTTATTATTTACATTCCATAATTATTGCGGTAAAAATACTGAACTTTTCGAAAATAATTTGATTAAATATACTCGTATTCCTCAGTTGATGAAACTCTTGTTTTCAATTAGAAAACATTTTCTGAATCATAAACTCATTTTGGTATTTTTGTTTATCTTTTATAACTAGGAAAAAAATAATATTAATTCTTTTAAAATCTAATAAAAACTTAAATTCCACATTCCATGCAAATACAAATGTACGATGGACCGATTTGGTACATTTTATTCCTGTGTTTAGGAAAAAAAGGGTTATTATTTTATTTTATCCGACAAAGTGGCAACTATTAAAACAAATGTGTATATTGTATACAAATCATTTGTTTACTGTTCAAAAATTCATCGTAGTAAATAAATTATAGCCGTGTATGAAACGAACGTGTAGATACAAAATTGATAAGATACCGTACCGACCTTTACTTACCTACTTTTATAGTCAATGTTCATATAGTAATATTTTATGCTATATTTTGATATATTTTATATTATATTCCTTTTATTCATAATCCGTTTGTCGATAGCTCAACATGGACGGACGCCTACTACCCAGCTATAATTAGGTTTAGAAAAAATAAAGACAGTTAAGAGTTTAAGACAATAATTCGTGAATGCGAATAAATATGCGATCTAATTTGAAACGATTAGATAAAACTACTAAATATTAATACAGCTGAATATTCGTTACAAAAGTGCCTACTTTTTACGACATCTACGTTAAGACTTAAGAGTTAAGGGTATTATTTGAAACAAAAAAATAACTATTAATAATGTAATGACTATTTATTCGTATCCTCACACTGCCAAATACTGCACATAACGCCATTATAATCAAGTAATATAATATAATAATATTTTTCCATCAAAATCTTTGATGGTTTCGTAACTTGAATATTTCTTTAAACTTTAATTTGGGGTTAAAACTCCAAAAGTATCCCTTCTTTAGAAGTTTTAAATTTAAATTCATCGTAAATGTAAAAAAAATGAAGTAGCGCAAATAAAAAAATTAAATCACCTATAACTGCTATCGATAGATGCTCGACATAAATTGAATTCTCTTGGATCATCAGTACTAGATCCCTGTGATTCAGCCCGCTAAGGCAAATAAAGTGTTGGGTAAATTACTTTTAAAAAGTAATGAAATTACATTACTTGTTAATTCAAATATTTTTATTAAAATTACATTTGCGTTACCTAAAATTATTTTCTTCACGTTACTTTTTCATTAATAAAGTAGTGGGTTACAAATAACGTTACTTTTTTTATCATTTTTTTTTAACCATATTATTCAATTCATATGATTCAATTATTATGTATATATTTTACAATCATAGACCTAGTGAATAATACCTATTATAGTATTATGTACAAATGTACAATCATCTCACATGGCTATATAGTCATAAGTCATAAATCATAATTAAATTTTATTTTTAAACCAAATTATTTTCTTTCTGCTAATAAAGTGATAACATTTATTCCTGGAATGTTTAGTAATATTGTTAACTATTATCGGAACCAAAATTAATATAATTAATTTTTCTGGGGTATCCTATCGGCTTGTTTTTGTAATACATTCAAAACTATTATTTTAGTAAAGTGGAAAATAACGCGTTAGTGCTTTACTTCATAAAAATTACTTTTCAAAAGTAATTTTTTTAAAATTGCGTTACAGTAATTTGTAATTTGCGTTACGTTACTACCCAACACTGGGCAAATCACGGATTAAAATTCAAAATAGTTTATTCTTGTCAGTTAAGTAAAATTTTTTAAAAAACATTTTATATTATATAACGTGACACAAAATAAGCGTCCAGTTAAAATTTGCCTGAACAACGGTGTCCATCTTCGAAAATCCAGGGGGTACCGTATTTTTTCATATTTGATAGGTAACTACTTACTCTTAAGACTGAATAAGTATCAACCATTGTCGCGAAATTGGTAAATTAAATCAAATACCTAAGTGATAAAATTATCGACATATTTTTCATTAACTTATTTCTTATTAACATAATATATTATGTCGATGGATAAAATGATGATGATCAATTTTATTTATTCAATGTATTTAATATAATTTATAATAATTTATGTTTACATTTTAAATTTATAACGGACACAAAAAATCCAGTAGGACACATGTCCCTTCTTGATCCCTGCCCCATAATGGACACCCTTACCATAGTATACTAAAGCAAACTATTTACGCGTGTTTTCCTGTATCCGAATCAAGCCCGGAAATCATACATACACGTCCAGAAAAACATTATAATAATAATAATATGAATAATTTTATATTATAATAAATTCTTATTCAAACTATTTTCACCCTTTTTTTCTGGTCAAATATCAATACCAAGGTGTATATAACTTATTTACTGTTATAGCGATTAATGACACATTTATTGAGTGCCCATCATTGCATATATATATATACGATAATGTTATGAACAATTCGAACATATTATGATAAAATATTACAGGTACCCATTAATAAATAATAATAAAAGGTGTAAAATAGTTGGATTTATATGTGTAAATACGTCATATGTTTTGTTATTATAAGTACAATAATGAATCAACTTTGACAAGATGTGTTGAATACTTTTCACAAGATTCAGAATAAAACAACCTAACATTTTAATTACAGATCTTTACATGAATCTTCAAATATGTTTTTAGGTATACAAATACTCTGTTTTTTCCATATTCTTTGCATATTATAAAATATAAAAACATAAAATGATATGTCTTGTATGCTTCGCAATGCGAAAAACATTTACAGTTTAGTTTCGAGCGATAGTTAGCGATACGTCTTGACGATCTTAACTCGCCTCCACATACTGGAGCCTACGTAAAACCACAATTTATTATAATAATAGTTATAGTTTATACAGGTATACTATACTAATATCGTATATATATTTTTAGTGCAATAAAATGTATTGTCAAGCGTATGTTTGTTATAAACGTTTTTTATGTAACTAGTCCATACATTTTTTTATGAATTTTACTATGATATTTTGCATTTTTCAAGTTAAAATAAAGTTTTAACCATTTTTAACACATAATATTACTATTTATTATTTTATCTACTTGACGTATTGGATATTAGGTAAGTATAAATTTTTAATTTATATTATTATAATAGTATATTATACTATACTCATAGTCTACAACAACTATCATCATGCATCTGTAAAACTAACATAACCGCGGTATAGGAACATAGCAGGCAATATAGACGTACCTCGGAAACTCCATGTATATAATATATGTATAATTTATTATTATATAATATTATATAAATGACCCGCGGCTCTCGTCCGTCGATAGTCGAACCCGCCGCCCGAAAAGTTGACGATGCGGGTGCAAAACAGTTTATTGCAATAATAATATAATATACCTATGCCTAATTAATGTTGTAATGTGCGAGTGCTATGGTACCACGATGGTAACAATAGCGATAACAATGTATAATTATTATAGTCGTGAGTTTTCCCCTCGAGAAAGCCGTGGACATTGGTGCGGAGGAAAAACGGCCGAGAAAAAGAACCGCGACTCGTCGGCGACGAGTTTTTCGGTGGCCGTCAACAAGTGGCGAGCGGACGGTCGAGCAGGTGATGGAGGTGATGGTGACGACGATGGCGGCGGTGACGGAGCGACTACGTGGTTCGGACACCGCGGAAGACCGGCGGCGGTGACGAGATGTCGCATGGTTCCGCGACCCGGAAGACGAACGGGAAGTAACGCGAGAACGGTGCGACGGCGACTCGCGACCGGTGCGGTGTGCGTGCGCGCGGCGAAACGGCCCCCAGCTGTCTGCGGGCACGGAGCGCCGGTTTGCGTATTATTATTATTATTTTCGTAAAGCGCGCGGTGGCGTGTTATGTACAGGGTGATTTACCTGCGAGCATGCTCACCCCTTATACGAGTATATAATATTATATAGTTCCTCGAATAGAATTTGTAGTATTGGATCTAGTGTTTATTAATATAGATAATTTCTATAAATTATAAACGCCAATGGATTAATAAATAAAATATTCAAATCACAAAAGCCCCCATAAATTCAAAACATCCAAACCGATCATCATGGGCCTATTATCCTATATTATGTTTTATCTTTAGATTATTGATTTTGATATCTACGTCAAAATGTTCAGGAAAAATATCCGATTAATAATACAATTTTACGTTTAAATTGGTGAACTTATTTGAAAAACATAAGTTTGCAGGTCCACTGAACACTTCATTTTCAGTACGAAAATTCTCAATAATTTTATAATAATATGGTATTTAAATAGATATGTAATTTAAAAAATTTCAAAAATCAGATCTTGAATTACTGCATTATCGAAGAAAAAAGAGGGTGAGCAATGATCATGCTTGGTGAATCACCCTATATATTATACCGTACTGAGTGATCTGTTCAAACAGCTACATTTTACTGTTTTCAGAGTAAAGTTTTCTGGCTATTTGGAAAACTGTTATTGTTGTTGATACTGCAGTTTTGGTAATATATAATATAGGTACATATATTATTATTTTAGTTGCAACTGTTCAAAGGCTGCACTATACCTATTCACACTCTAATTTTTTTTTTTTTTTGATTTAGTCAGCAGTCTCATATAATATTTAGTGACTATTATAGCGGACCATGACCTTTGCGGGATATCCGTTTCTCATTTTACTCCGATCGCCACAACATGACATGCTCATGTTAATACAAAAAAACTATTCATTTAACTACAGTAATATATTTGTTATGATTTGAGACATCAGAATATTTATAAAAGTAATAATTATGCTTCTAGTTATGAAAACAAATAATAAGAAATGACGAAATGGTAAAAACTTGATTTTTGCGAGAGAATGTAGGTTAGTTAGCAAGGCAGTGATATTAATGATTTTATATATTTTCGAATTTCAAGTTGAATTCAAAATAAATAACTAAAATAACTGAGGTACACATTAACATTGTAAATCCAAAATTTATTGTATTTTGTATATTTTTGCAAAAACTGTTTTTTTTTTTTTTTTACTATTTTAGCACTTTCCCATAATCCATAATCAATTTTGTCCAGGCCCAGTCACAACGTATAGAGACTTAACATTTTTGGCAATTGATTCCTCATATTAAATTATAGACGAGACAAAACTGACCAAGCCTAATTTTTGATTAATTAATTTTCCTGAACAACAACAATAAACAATAATATTTCTATTGACAGAATTTTTGGAAAAAAAAATATTATCTTGTTATTTATCAAATGTATGAGTATAGATAGCTGCTGTCTGGATCACAAACCAGTAGATTTAAAAGTTTAGAATTAAAAATAAATTAAATTTGAATTCAGAAACAATGTCTTATCATAGGTACGTAATATTTTCGATACTATACCTTAAGTTATGGGGAAGAGGTCTAACTTTACTTTTTCGGTGATGTGAAATTTAATTTTTTGTTAAACAAAACTGAACTGTACTGCTCATTAGCTGATGTATCTTCAAAACTCGTCCACTTTTTATCGTATTTTTTTGTTAGATTTTTTAGTTATTTCAGTGCGTTACATACACAATCAAACCAAAATTAATGTATAAATAATTTTTCTAAAAAGAAAACCACTGTCAAAAATTTTCATTTTTAAAAGTAATAAAAAGAGTTAGCCAGCCCTCCCCCCCACTACAGCCCAACTACATTTAAAGAATTAATTTCATAGCTTAAGGTAAGTATAGACTATCATATTATTATGCCGTAATCCGGTCACCTCCCCCCGGCGGGACATGAAGTATATTATTAAGTTAATCTTTAACTCGATTGCACACGGTTTGATAATATTTTTCACGGGATTCCACTCTTCGGAAACAACTACAAAAGTTGAAACGGATCACCCTGTATAATATGCTCACAGTCGTAACGCGTTAGTGGTAGTAGTGATATAAGTAGTAGTAAGTAGTAGTAGTAGTAGTAGTCGCGCGTAGTAACGGCAGTAGTAGTAGCGAGTGCGTGCCGCCCGCAGTCGGCGGCGGCGACGGCGAATCCGCGCGAATGGCTGGCCGACTTTGGCGGGCGGCGGACATTTACGCCGCGAGCGCCCTCTGCCGGGCGTTGCGCATCGCGATTATTTTATACGCACGACTACTACGATTATACGGTACGTCTGTATAATATATATATACATAATATAATATAATATATATACTGGGTGATTCTTTTATCAAACAACACTCATTATTTCAAAAAGTGTAAATTTTTTTGAAGATATTTTTTTACATAGTTTCAAGTCGCTTATAAGACAACGTTTTTATTAAAAAATTATATTTTTAATTATTTTTATCCTTATAATTTTTTAAGTTTTTTACTTTTTTGAATGACAACATAGGGTTTTAATTTTATATTTTTTTTTAGTATTTTGATACATGAAAATTGAATTTGGGGCGAGTAGTTTATGAGTTATAAGTATTTAAAGTTTAGTCGAGCGGTGAAGTGGACAAATATTTCGCGGGGTAACCCCGAACCACTCCACTCCGCTCATCTAAACTTTAAATACTTATAACTCATAAACTACTCAACCCAAATTCGATTTTTATGTATCAAAATACTAAAAAAAATATTCTTCTTTAAAATATAAAATTAAAACCCTATGTTGTCATTCAAAAAAGTAAAAAACTTAAAAAATTATAAGGATAAAAAATAATAAAAAATATAATTTTTTAATAAAAACGTTGTCTTATAAGCGACTTGAAACTATGTAAAAAAATATCTTCAAAAAATTTACACTTTTTGAAATAATGAGTGTTGTTTGATAAAAGAATCACCCTGTATATATTATATACTATACCACGGTCGTAGTCTGTTCATCTTGTTGTTATTATTATTATTATTATTGTTATACGCGCGCCCGAGAGCCGCATAATATATTATTACGCGTGTAGACACTCGCAAACAGGGTGCACCGGGGACCTGTGCTGCTGCAGTGCAGTGCAGTCACGATTTGTAAAACGATTTTTGATCGCGATAAATTTAAAAGTCGATTAAGACCAAAGAAAAATACGAACAAACGCGTGTGACCGGCCGACGTAACGCGGTTTTACATGATAATTTATTTTTTATGCTTTCCGATATTATAATAAATTCAATAGTGATAGAACGGCACAGTTCATAATAATATAGTGGAAAATCTTGTGGCCGGGGGTGGGGGTCGTACGGACGCCACTTTGGACACCCTGTATATACACGTATATATACGCACATATAAGTATACATATATTATATATAATATGATGTATATATATCATATCGATCGGGCCGGCGGCGCGGCAATGCGACTATGCGGCCGTGTACATTATGTGTACGGTATAAGTACGCTTATTCGCCAGCTGAAAACGCCGCCCCTGCCAACGCAGGCGAACACCTTTTGACCCCGTCTCGTAGCGGCAATACAACAAACTGCATAGACGACGAGATGCCATTTATATATATGCAGGTACCTACGTGTAATGTACATGGACCATTGGTATACAATATACATAAATATATAAATATTATTGCATGTATATACAAATTAATGGCTACTGCGCCTGTAATGGGGCTTATAAACTTGGAAACTACTGAACCAATTGGCACCAAATTTTGCACGCATAATATTATTATCCTCGGGACTAAGGGAGTGTTAATACCTTTGTTTTAAACTCCTATAGCGGGTTTACATTAAGGAGGTGGTTGTGGATCACAAAAATCAAATATTTTTTGAACACCTCGTATAATAAAGTTTATGGACATAGTATACATTCACAGAGGACGTACGTAACGTGTGTTATTGTCACCGACGAAAAGTAACGTGACTTATAATGCAGTATTGAATGACGTAGATATCGGATGTAGGCAGGTACTTATACGAAAAATATAAAATATCGTACTTACGCCATTTTTTTATATATATATTTATATAATAATAAAGAGATATTTTCGAAACAGAAAATAACCCATTTTACATCAACCGATTACTGCATGGTAGAGAGCCAGAAAGCGATTTTGATATATTAATTGATTTATGATAATAATAAAGCACGAAATTCGAGTCACATATAATATGATCGACAGTTACACAGTTTACACGCATGCGACTGCAGTTGGCGCGGTGCAACCATTTCTGCTGCAGTTCTTGTTGCTACATGTTTGTGATCGTCATTTCAAGTACCTACTAATACAATATAATGTATGTCACTATTTATATATTATTATGTCATCATATCCAAATGTTTAAGAAGACTATTTTTGTTGTATATATAGTACAATTATTATATAACTATGGTATCTAAATTATATACATTATATCTACACTGTACACTGTATATAGAAAGTTTAGAAACGTGTATATATTTGTGAATAAGGTTTCCAAACTGTCTAGACTTACTACATAATATATTTGAATATCTAACCAGGTAAGATGGCTGGTATTATATTATGCATTTGTACCTAGTGTTTTTAATTTTTAATATTGAACTGAATAAAGTCAAATTTCATAAGTTACGTTAAAATAATTTTAAATAAAATAGTATTTGGAAGAATAAAACATTACAAAATTAATTGTATACTTAACTTCAATAATAAGGTTTTCTTCGATTTTAATTATGTACAGTAGCCACATATATAGTATATTATACTTATGCAAAAGTTAAAAATAATAAATTGAATTGCTCATAAGATAAAATATTTGTATTAGGTATTCATTTGTTATACATAATATATTTAAATTTGGTAGTTATAGTTGCAACTGAATAAACATAATATATATAGTCCTTGAATAAAAACGAAGTTAGTTGTATTAAAGGACACAAATTATCTTAAGATGGATAGTAACTTATAAT